GAAACCTGTTAGAGTATTCGCCCTTGTTACAATTGCCTCGTGTTACAATTGACCCCGGTCTCCCCTACTTTCTAAGGCAATGTAACACTTACCTGTGGTTTGTTTGAGTGGCGCCTGAACAAAGTAACGGGTAAATAATAAAATTAGCAACGTTAAACGTAATGGGGAAAGAATGCAAACTTCAGAAACCATATCGCCAAATGCTTGTTGTACAAGGAAACGAAACGGCGATGTTGTACATACATCAGACACCACCAGACAATCCAGTCACTACCAGAATGCGCATTAATACCCTGAATTGGGATGCAACTTGAGATGCTTCCATAAAATGAGTTAGGGTCACTACCAACGTGCGGCATTCCCGTAGACGACTGTTACGACAAGCCTGGGTACATGTAATAAGTTATAAAATGCGATTGAAATCATTCAGAAAAAGCAACAGCTTACCTCGCGTGCTGTTCCGAAAAATGGCGGAATGAAACACGCACATGCGCATTCCTTTAGTATGATTGTGCACATGCGCAAACAATTTTCTGTTTTAAAGGCTTTTTAACAAAGCGCGACACGCGACGCGCGACAACGCGACATTTCATCAAAATGTCGCGTTGTCGCATTGTCGCGTGTCGCGTTTTATAAATACCGTTATAATACATATACTGTACTCAATATTTTAACAAAGCGCGACACGCGACGCGCGACAACGCGACATTTCATCAAAATGTCGCGTTGTCGCATTGTCGCGATGTCGCGTTTTAATAAATACGTTATAATGCATACTGTACTCAATATTTTAACAAAGCGCGACACGCGACGCGCGACAACGCGACATTTCATCAAAATGTCGCGATGTCGCATTGTCGCGTGTCGCGTTTTAGTAAATACGTTAGAATGCATACTGTACTCAATATTTTAACAAAGCGCGACACGCGACGCGCGACAACGCGACATTTCATCAAAATGTCGCGTTGTCGCATTGTCGCGTGTCGCGTTTTATAAATACGTTATAATGCATACTGTACTCAATATTTTAACAAAGCGCGACGCGACGCGCGACAACGCGACATTTCATCAAAATGTCGCGTTGTCTGATGTCGCGCGAATGTCGCGTTTTAGTAAATACGTTAGAATACATACTGTACTCAATATTTTAATGAGTGAGTGGAGCGGGGAGTGGAGTGAGTCAGTGAGTCAGTGAGCGGAGGGTAGAGGAGTGATGCGGAGTGGAGTGGAGCGGAGTCGAGTGAAGTCGGGTGAGTGAGTGGAGCGGGGAGGGGAGCGGAGTGAGTGAGAGTGGAGAGGGAGCGGGGAGCGGAGTGAGTGGGTGGAGTGGAGTAGAATGAGTGAGTGAGTGAGGTGGGGAGTGGGGAGTGAGTGGAGTGGAGAGGAGTGGTGGGCGGAGAGGAGTGCGTGGGTGGAGAGGGGCGTGGGTGAAGTGAGTGAACGGGTGGAGTTAGTGAGTGAAGCGGAGAGGATCGCAGTGAGTGAGTGAGTGGAGAGGGAGTGGAGTGGAGTGACTGAGTGAGTGGAGCGAGGTGGAGAGGAGCAGAGTGAGTAAGTGGGCGGGGAGGGGCGGAATGAGAGACAAAGTGAGTGAGTGAGTGAGTAGAGCGGGGGCGGAGTGGGTGGAGTGAGTGGGTGGATTGGGCGGCGTGAAATGGTGAGTGACTGAAGTGAGTGAGCGTAGCGTGGAGTGGAAGCGAGCGGAGAGGAATGAGTGAGTGAGTGGAGCGGGGATTGGAGTGAGAGTGAGTCAGTGAGCGGAGTGGAGTGGAGCGGAGAGGAGTGGAGGAGTGGGAGTGGAGGGAGGGAGTGAGTGAGTGAGTGGAGAGGCATTGGGGAGTGGAGCAGGTGAGTGGGCGAAGTGGAGTGGAATGAGTGAGTGAGTGACTGGGTGAGTGGGCGGGAAGGGAGTGAGTGAGTGAGTGATACATACTGTACAAAATATTTTAACAAAACGCGACACGCGACAATGCGACAACGCGACATTTCATCAAAATGTCGCTTTGTCGCATTATCTGATATCACATTCATCAGATTACGGCGGATTTTATCACAAAGCATGATTACTTTTCGATGTTTGGGAGGAGTTGAGCTGAGCGGGGCGGAGGAGTGGAGTGAGTGAGTGAGTGGAGCGGGGAGTGGAGTGGAGGAGGGAGGGGCGAGCGAGCGAGAGTTGATTTCTGGCACTCCAAGCGTACGCAACTCTGCCAAGCGATTCGACCGCTTTTAAAATCATAATCATAACATTCCATTTGTATGGCGTTTTCCAAAGAACAATATCACGTTCAAAGTCGACCAAAACTGTCTTTGAGGTGCTGGATGGTTAAGTGATATTACCATGTAATTCTACCTGGTATCCATCCACTGCTGGCTGAACAAGTTCATCAGCGTCGGACACGTCCGCACTGTGGAACATAGTGACCCATTCGTGGACATCACTTGATGTTTCTGCCGATGTGGCTGGCCTGAATTTTAACAATATTTGAGTTTTTTCACAACCTGTGAGCTTGATATGGGTGAAATGTTCAAAGTGATGAATGTGTATGGTACTGGGATTCGAACCTATGATCAAAGTTATCTAGTGTGACTAAGAGACACAACCCTGCATAGCAGATTGCCTCGCCTTGAATGACAGAGCCACCGAGTGCCGTGATTACAATGAGTAGTAGCGCTAATAATTTGTCTTGATGCTAAAACACACTTTATTGGCCAAATACATTTACAATATATGCAATAATTTTCAAAGCAACAATGAAAGATTTCCATTAAGTTCAAGAAATGCAGCCCCCATTGTCATTACGCGTACTACTTCATTGTAAAAACCATTGGAGGTAACAAAGACCACTGAAATGTGTAATAGAGTATAACATTTCCTGCGCATGCGTAGACTCATTGACTTTCTACGCATGCGCACCGGTAATCGAAAGGGCGAAAACGCGACACGCGACAATGCGACATATAAAATGTCGCATTGTCGCGTGTCGCGTTCAAATGAATTTTAGGCTTCTTTTACACATCTTAGATAGGGCGACGCGCGACAACACGACATATTTTGACCTTGAAAATTGTCGCTATGTCGCGATATGTCGCCCTTTGGAGGAATAGAAAAATATTATTCAAAACGCGACACGCGACATCGCGACAATGCGACAAATGGGCGAAATGTCGCGTTGTCGCGATGTCGCGTGTCGCGTTTTGGTTTATTTTGCCTCACTATACTTGTTTTTGACAACGCGACAATGCGACATAGCGACAATGTCCCTTACAGTATTCCATAGAAAGGTGTGTTCTCCCGCGTGAGCGCTCATCTGATAGTGAACTACCTGAGGGAAGTTGATCTGTATCATAAATTGTAACGGTGAAATGTGACTAACAAATTGCCTACCTTTAAATTTAGTGCTTTGACTTTTTCTGCTTTTAAATGACAATATAATGAATAAATGTTTTTGAAATAAAACTCATTCCGAGTATGTACTTACAATGTTTATTAATGCAAACTTGTTTTCGTCACTATATGGCTGGAATAATGCCGATGTGACGTAAAACCCAACTCAACTCAAAACATTACGTGAACGTTTGCAGTCCATTCAGACTCTTGACTTCAGTATCCAGTGTGACTACCACGAGCGGCAATAACTGCAGCACAGCTTCTATGCATGGCGTCCACCAATCGATTGGTGAACGTCATTTGGCACCTGGAACTACACTCTGACAAAGGCCTGGCGCAATAAATCGGCTGTGTTCGGCCTTGGTATGACATTATTCAGTCTCCTCAGAATTTCATCCCAAAGTTGTTCAATTGGGTTTAAATCAGTACTAAGGGCTGGCCACTGCATTATGTTGACACCGTTTTCCTGCAGGAAGTCCCGTGTTGCTCTGGCAGTATGGGGCGGGGCCTTATCATGCTGGGAAATGTTGTTCCGGTGACGGCGTGCGAAATGTGGTATGATATGGGGTCTGAGAGCTTGGTCGATGTAGCGCACCGCTGTGATTTCACCTCCTCTCCCTGGACCAAGGTTCAGGAACACCAGTTACGCTGGCCACGTCGTCGCCATATTCTTGTTCTGCCATCTGCAGTTGATACGCAGTACCGACTCTCATCTGTGAACAGAACAGTTCTCCATTGCCTGTATCGCCAGTTTTGGTGTTGTAGGGCAAACTGTAGACGTTTACGCCGATGGGGTGAGGATAGGTCCACGGTAAGGTCTACGGCAATGGAGGTTCCCGCTGTTAAGACGTCAGCGTATGTAGCAGTACTGATTGGTTTTCCGTGTGTTCCCACTGTCTGGCATGCTGTTTCGGATGCCTGCATGAAGGGATTCTGTACATGCTGTCGCACAACATGGCGGCCATGTCGTATTGTGGTCATCCGTGGTCTGCCAGTACGGGGGCGATCATTTGTGGTGTTGGTGGCCCGGAAACGTTGCTGCAGCCTGTAGATGGTCAAAAAAAAAGGCCTGGAAGTGCTTGGCAGCGGCTTGTTCAGTGTGGCCAGCTTCAAGTCTTCCTAGTGCCTGGTTCCTCTGAGCTGTCGTGAGTCGCGGCATCCTGCAGAGGTTGTAATGTTAATGTTTGAACCAGGTTTCGGGGTTCATTTTTATAGGGCTGGTCTTTGTGAACAGCACGTGCAGCATGAGTTGCATGAAAAACATGGAGAACACCGTACCATCTCCGAGATCAAGTTGCGTTTTTGAGACCATTTCCTGGCTTCCATTCTGAGTTTTGGAAGGAATGTCTTTGCTCAGGTAAAGATGGAGATGTTGTCAAAAATATACAATCAAAACATTTAATGAGTTTACAGTTATCCGTTTTTGCGAAGGAAAATTCCAAACTGACGTTTCTTTTGCTGCTTAGTATATATAATATTTTGTTTATCTGATTATATATATTGACGTACAGGAACAGACGAAACGTTATAATTAAAACGCATATTTTAGTGCCATGTATGTGTTCTCAGGTATGCTCAGCAAGATGTGAAGATTATTAGCATATACATTTCCTCACCTGTAAATAATAACTCCTGCAATCACTACCAGAATGGCTATTGCTCCGCCGACACCCCCACCTATCACTGCTATGTTAAGAGCCGACTCAGCTAAAACACAAAACGGATTAGTTTATCATGACAATGTAGTTGGGAACATTTGTTGATAAAAACAAGTATCTTGGAAAACACAACGTTAGGTGCAGATGATGGACACAGAACAGTCATTCAAAAGTAACAAAAAGATAGGTAATTAGATAATATAAATTAGGAAGAGACGAGACACGTTAACAGTTAAAAGTCAGTCTTTGCCACTCCGCAAAATACATCATTTCGAGGTAAGAGTAATGACCAGATTTTGCTGTCTTGAGGTAATGCTTTCGTGCAGGATTTTGAGGTGAGGTGACATGGGGTTTAACGTCGTGCTTGAGAATATTTTGCTCATATGACCACGTGCATGCGTGTGTATGTGTATGTTCGGCTGCTTGTACTAGCCCAGACTTAAGCTGGTTTTATAGTGCTAGCTCACTGAGATACCATGCCGCAGTTAAGCATGAATACCCCATTCAGACACAGTATACTGACTCCGAGCCAACCAGTCCTTGTTGTATCCATTAATGCCGAGTGCCAGGCAGGGACCAATCAGTACAACATTTTAACGTCTTTTGGTATGACGCAGCCTGGGATCGAACCCGCGACCATCCGCTATCCGGGCTGACGCTCTAACCTGCAGGAGTTTGATGTTTAGATACTTATTCATTTTAAAGATCATCAGATAAGACAAAAATTGCAAATGTAATACGTGAGTGTCTGAGCGTCATTTCTTACATCTGGCAACATGCAGGTTTGAAGTCATAGGAAGACGATTAAAGAGCGCGATGATAGATACATGTTAACGCTACAAGTGTGATTTACGAAATGCCACTAGAAACGTGGGAGAATGCAATGATTCATACTTACGGCCTTGACAGCTCTCTCCTGTCCACCCATCTGCACATCCGCCCTCACAATGTCCTGTCGTCTTCTCACAAACTCCACTGGTCTTACAGTGGCATGTCTTCTTACATTCGGTGCCATATGTGGAGTTACTGCACGCTGACAATTAGCAGAGAAAAAATACAGGACAAGGCCAGTGGTTTACTTTCGGGAAAATCAAAGATCTATATTAATATGTGATCGCTTCGCTTAGAGTGAGTGAGTCAGCTTTTACTCCGCTTTTAGCAATATCACGGCGGGGGACACCAGAAATGGGCTACAGACATTGTACCCATGTGGGATAGCGAACCCGGGTCTTTGGCTTGACGAGTGAAGCCACAAACCTTAATGTGTTATTCCCTGAATATATTGGCGGATATTAATATCGAGTTTGCCTCACTGACAGCTAGTGGCTCAATGCATGAGTTACAGAAAGAAATGTGGTATGGAGATATATTTTCATTTGATACCTGTCTGGCAGTCATTGCCGATCCATCCTGCTGCACAATCGCCCTGGCAGAAACCTAAGGTCTTGTTACATGTTGTGTTATCCTCACAGTGACATTGCTTGGAGCAGTTGAGACCATACGTGTTGTTTCTACAACCTGAATATATGGATATACGTTGTAAGCATTATGTGTTTTTATAAACATAATCGTTTTTCAACGAATGGTACACTTACATAATCACAGTAAACCTTCAACTAACTGGCTTGTGGTGAATGTAAATGGGTAAATGGAAACATAGAACACGTTGTATTATAATGATAATCGATCTGTAAGATTCAATTATTGAGTGTGGTTTTAGCTTGTAGCAATATTCCAGCAATTTCGCGGCAGGGTAGACCAGAAATGGGTTTCCCAAATTGTACCCATGTGCTGGAGATTCTAACCGCGGATTCTAACCGCGTGAAGAGCGAACGCAAGACTACCCCACCACCCCGCAGAGATAGAACCACGTCCACGCGAGTTTTGTGTTGGATATAATGAACATTAGGCCAAAACCTGTCTGACAGTTGCCCTCCGACCATCCTGCCGCACAACCTCCCTGACAGTAGCCTGTTGTCTTGTTACATATAACGTTGTCCATACAATGACACCTTTGGGAACAGTTGATACCAAAGGTGTAGTTCTTGCACTCTGTGAATAGAACATAGTGACCACTATTAAATTTAAATATACCTATTATTTGTATTGGAATCAAGATACTGGTGCATATGTGATAGGCGTTGGCACAGTTGATACCAAACGCCTCGTTCATATATTCTGGTTAGTATTCAAATGTGTGAGTACCTTCAATTTTCTTTGTTCTAGACATTTGGAATAGAAATCTGGAAACGATAGCACAATATACCTGTCTGGCAGTCATCGCCCTTCCATCCTGCCGCACACCCACTCTGACAGTAGCCTGTTGCCTTGTTACAGGTAGCGTTGTCCTCACAGTGACACGTCTGTGTACAGTTGAATCCATAGGTGTTGCTACTGCACTCTGAATGTATGTATTTAGACATAAGTATATTCCTCTGTCAGTACGTATGGACCTGTGCATTGCATGTCCTCATGAATTGAAAATAGGTCGTGTCTTCACGAATTACATACCTATTAAATTACTATACCTTCCATAGCCTAAAACCGTTTGAACGCTAAAAAGGAATTGTTTTCCCGCTGAACTATTAAACGGGGCAATTTCGTCCATTAAGTATTTCATATAAACGTGTGAGTTTCAAACAAACTACACAGTCGTCTTAAAAACACTAACATTACATTGTAGTATTTTGATAAATGCATATATCACGTTCATCTCTTTGTACTTTGCACGTTTGTGCAGTACGTACGATGTGACTTTGGTAGGCGACCCGTGAAGATCCGGGTTAGAATTTGACTTCAGTAATCCATGCGAAGACTGCGACTGATAAAATCAAGTGGTTAGGCCTGGTGACTTGTTTGACACATGTCATAGTATCCCAATTTTGTAGCTCGATGCTCATGCTGTTGATCTCATTGTCTGGACGAGACTAGATTGATCAAAGACCGCCGCTGCATAGCTGAAATATTGCTAAGCGCGGCGTTTAAAAACCAGCAAACAAAAAGCACTTGGAAAGTCTATATTTGAGGGTTACATTTTCGTCTATTCAGTGATTCAAAAACATGTACATTTCAAACAAACAATTAGATGTGGTATAAACACGTTCTACTTTACAGAGTAGGAATGAACATAATTAATTTTAATAATTGTTCGGAGCGATATTTTCTGCACTGGAACTGCGATACTGTGACAAATGTGTCATGTGACAAATGTTACATTTATGGCGACTGTTTATACAAACCATAACGCCTATGCATTCTGGAAAGGCATTCAAATACTCAACATCTTTGTTGCTTGTTGCTATTATACGGAGAAAAATACCACAATCCACGGCACAATGTACCTGTCTGACAGTTGCCTCCCTTCCACCCTGCCGCACATCCGCCCTGACAGTAGCCTGTCTTGTGACATATGGTGTTGTTCTTACAGTGACACTTCTCAGAGCAGTTGATCCCAAACGTGTAGTTACCACACTCTGTGAATAGAAAATGTTGGCCACTAATATTCATTATTAAACCTAGTTTGAGTTGGAATTGAGATACTGGTGCACAAGTTATATGTGTGGACACAGTTGATACCAAACTCCTAGGTCATATATTCTGGAATGGTATTCAAATGTGCTAGTAACTTTCATGTTCTTTGTTCTATGAATAGGGAATAGAAGTCACAAATCGCAGCACAATATACCTGTCTGGCAGTCATCACCCTTCAATCCTGCCGCACACCCACTCCGACAGTGGCCCGTTGCCTTGTCACATATGGCGTTGTCCTTACAGTGACACTGTTCGGAACAGTTGACACCAAACGTGTAGTTGTTACACTCTGTGAATATGCAATTTAGACATAAGTATATTCCGCTGGCAGCTTGTGTAGACATGTACATTGTACTCGTGAATTGAACCTATGTCGTGTCTTCACGTATTACCTTTTATAAACTAAAACTTGTTGCATCTTAAGATACAGTTTGTTTTCCGGCTGAATGGACCCAAGGCGCCTTGAAAACAGTAACATCACATTGTAGTATCATGATAAATCCATATGTCAGATTCATCTCTTTGTGTCTCTTTGAACATATTTTCTAAGCTCGTTCATTCAGTATGTCACAGAAACGTGTCAGTTTCAAACAAACAATTACGTGTGTTATACATGCTTTTACATGAGCACAGACAAAACTACATCTGAGTAGGGATGAATATGAAGCAATTACCTGTCTGACAGTTGTCCTCCATCCATCCAGGAGCACATCCACCCTGACAGATGCCAGATGTTTTGTCACATATGACGTTGTCCTTACAGTGACACCGTTGTGAACAAGTGACACCAAAGGTGTTGTTTGTGCACTCTTTGAATAAAAAGGTAGCTATGAGTAACACATTTTATAAATATTTGAATTGAGATACTTGAACATAAATTACCATAGTGGGCATATTCATACAAACACGTGCTGTCATTTCATTCTGGTATGGTAATCTTGTTTATTGCTATTATACGAGAAAAAATGATATCACGAATTCACAGCACAATATACCTGTCTGGCAGTCATCGCCCTTCCATCCTGCTGCACATCCTCGCTGACAGTAGCCTGATGTCTTGTTACATGTAGCGTTGTCCTGGCAGTGACACTGGTGGGAACACTTATAACCGAACGTGAAGTCAGGGCACTCTGTGAATAACAAAAACAAATGAGCCATTTATAATTATATTTTCTGTATTGGAACTGAGATACTGAGACATATGTGTTTATAAGTTACACTTAAGGCCACTGTTTATACAAAGCATACCGCCTATGCATTCTGGAATGGTATTCAAATACTCAACATCTTTGCTGGTTGTTGCTATTATACAGAGAAGAAGACACCAATCCACAGCACAACAAACCTGTCTGACAGTTGCCTCCCTTCCATCCTGCTGCACACCCACTCTGACAGTAGCCTGTTGTCTTGTTACATGTCGTGTTGTTCAGACAGTGACACTTCTGTCTACAGTTGAGTCCATACGTGTTGTTACTGCACTCTGAGTATATACATTTAGACATTAGTTTAATCCTCTGTCAGCACGTATGGACGTGTACATTGTATGTGTTCATGAATTGAAAATATGTTGTGTCTTCACTCATTGTATTTATCAACTGAAACGAACTTAACTTCAATTTGACTAAAACCTGTTGAATGTTAAGATAGAACTTCACGCTGTACATCAAATCATTTATACATTAGCCGGTTGATCCTTCAGTTAAATGTATCAATTACACTGCAACGATAAATAAATGAATTAAGTAAAAACAATAAATTATTGTAAAATACGGTAATCAGTTGATTTCTCCTTCCAAATGTGTCAATTACACTATACAAATAAATCAGTTAATTAAGATAAAATATAACAATTCTATCAAATATGTAGCAATTGGTCACTCATTCGAAATGTATCAATTATACTGCAGCAAAAGCACAAACCAAACAATAACCCCCAAAACAACAACAACTGTTACAACAAAAAGCAAAACAAGCATGTATGCAACCAAAGATATGAAAAATGGAGATTAGGCAAAAACCTGTCTGACAGTCGGCCTTCGTCCATCCTGGCGCACATCCGCCCTGACAGAAGCCTGTTGTCTTGTTACATGTAGTGTTGTCCTTACAGTGACACTTCTCAGCACAGTTGCTCCCAAACGTATAGTCATCACACTCTGAGAAAATAGATAGTGACCGCTATGAAACCTAAGTATAAATATTATTTTGTTTTAACAGGGCTGAATCCAGGACAAATTCCCCCCAGACAAATACACCCCCCCCCCCAAAAAAAAAAGAAAGAAAAAGATAATCCCCCCATCCTTAACATTAAAACGGACAAAATCCCCCCTACTCATCTTTAGCTTTAGATTAATGGTTCTTTAATCCTTGTTATCATAGAACAGCTTCATTAACAATTGCAGTAGAGTTGGAGGAGATTGTTTTAGATATGGATACTGGCATAGAACTGGCAAAAACACAGACTAAATGCCCCCCACTCATCTTTAGCTTGGTTCTCCTGATCTGTGATCAACACTTAATCCCCTTTCATGTTGGGGTTGTCTAGGGAGATTTTGTCCTCCGATGCACTTTCGGGTGTGTGTGTGGGGGGGTGGGGTGGGGTGGGTGTGTGTGTGTGTGTGTGTGGATTTTGTCCGGTTACCAACAGGGCTACTGTCGAATATACACAAAACGTGTTGTCATAGAAAAGCTAGAAACAGTAATGTATTGTCAATTCTAGGTAATCCAGTATCTCTCTCAATACAGTTAAGGTATATTTTGTGAATACATGAGATTGTTACGTTTGTACCGATCCAGGTTGCTTCTACATAGCCATGTGGTTGCTAGTATTCGACTTACACTTACAACGGACTTCAATTTCATGTACTCAGCATCGTGAATGTTCTCTTAACGCCTCTATAATGAAGGAAAGGGGAAGGCAGTAGAATCTAACTGACTTAACATAGGAGTTGTAATACATAGAATTGCAAGTACGGATCGGGGAAAGTAATGGTCAGCCGGATACCAACTTATTATGTTGATACCTTCTATTAATGAGTGGAGACGTGGTGAGTACGTTTACGGCCTAATCCGTCGAATTTTGAACTGTCAGCAGTGCTGATTCGTCGAATCATGCTTGAGTGGTTCTGTGCTAATCAGTCGAATTTCAGACAGTGTTAACACACTGGAAGAGTCGAAGTTCATTAATTAAGGGGTCGGCTTGTATTGGATTAGACTACATGTTTTGTTAAATAGTTAAAGGGTTCACAGGTGTGGAAACCGATGTTTGCTATGAACTATTATCTTTTTTTTCTCGGTTCATATGTTTAATATGAAACGAAATGAGCTGCCGTAGAAAATCAAGTTATATAAAACTTGTCTAACATTGAATATACATGTAGAGGTGATAATCATTGGAAGCGGTTACTTTTAGAAATGAACTGATTATAGTTTGTTTTGTTCAAATACTCTACCCGGTACAAGATCGATCAGATAATCAGGAGTCAGATGATAATACACATTTTATAGAAAATTATGAGTTTAGAGCGATATCGTCTTTCTTTCAGTGTGCTATAATTGGTTTCCTTGGTGCCGCGAACCGCACCGCATATAGTTCTTAATGCGCCTAAAAGTAAATTTTCCAGTAAAATCGCCTGTTCAATCGTACAATTATCCCATATATGACAGTAGTAATAAAAAAGTGGTAAGATAAAGGAGAATATAATATCCTTGTATATAGTTCTCCTAATGAATACATTTTATTTAATGCATCAATTTCAATTTTGTAAAAACATAAAGATAGTCCAAACATATGTTTAATGCATCAATTTTTCATTGTATCATATGAGTAGGTAACGATAAGTACAAAAGTACGAAACTAGAGAGAGAGTCAAACCATCCAACACCCCTTGCGTCTGTTTTGGGGTATGATCCAATGTTTTGATAGCAGTGCTCATCCGTCGAATGCATTTTACTACTCCGAAATCAGAAATTCGACGGATCGGTACGCGACCGTGATGACTACCTGTCAGACAGTCATTTCCTGTAAATCCAGCCACACATCCGCTGTTGCAGTATCCGGTGGTCTTGTCACAGGTGGCGTTGTTCACACAATGGCACTGGTTGGTGCAGTTGACGCCGAACCAATGGTCCTCACACACTGCAGGATAAGACACCGTGTCAAATATAAGTTTCTAAAAATGTCTGTTACTACTGAGGCGTGTTACATAACTGGAAAATAGCTTTCTTTCTGAAATGTCACAAACCTTGGGACGCTCCGGTCAACGGTCCATCTGACTGAAGCACATAGTCACGCACGCACATATTCATATTTACATAAATGTAAAACAGTGCTTTTATTTTTTTCGCCCGAACAAAGAGTAAGACGTATATATAAAGTCATGAGTATTGTTTTTGACGCCATAGTCATGAGATGTCCTACGTATCATGAAATATTCCAACTGAACAACAGCCTCGCCCATCCAGGAGCTCTCTGTGACGGAAGATGCGTAACAAAACCTGACTGTTCCTTCTCAGGGCCACCTGCAACCACCTGTTAATAGATGTCGGAAACATCGGTCGAAATACATTTAACTAATTTGAGCGTTAATATTCACAGCATTCCAATCATTGCATTACTCATACTGTGCTGTTGAATCACTATCTTTCAAACTGAAATCTTTGCAATCTCTTACAGAGCAAAGAACACCAATGCATTATTTCTATTCAGAGGTTACAGGTCATAGATGATAAAATGAATGTTACACTCACTCAGTACTTGCACTTCACACAGACTTAGCTGTTTACCAGATGTAAGACTGATGTTAACTGTTTGTCCTTTCGTCACATTGGCACATCTGATGTTCATCACCGGTTCCACATGTTTAGCGGGATGTTTATAACAGGTCCTGTTCCCCACTGTTAGTATCGTTGAGTTCATACGGTATTCATCTGGATGATGAATAACATTATAACAACAGTTCTGAATAAGATATCCATTCCTTAAAAACCGTATTATAAATTGGTTTTGGTGTTGTTAATATGCATTTGCTTACAAAGACCAACTTACTATCCTACTTTGGTCAGGATATTCTAAATATATCCATCGAGTTACAGAGTGAGTGAGTGAGTTTAGTTTTACTCCGCAGTCAGCAATATTCTAGCTATATGGCGGCAGTCTGTAAATAATCGAGTCTGGACCAGACAATCCAGTGATCAACAGCATGAGCATCGATCTTAGCAATTGGGAACCGATGACATGTGTCAACCAAGCCAGCGAGCCTGACCACCCGATCCCGTTAGTCGCCTCTTACGACAAGCATGGGTTACTGAAGGTTCATTCTAACCCGGACCTTCACGGGTCGAGTAACATAGCATACATGTAGTAATATCATCTATATAATCTCACGCTGTGCCCTGGTGTAGATCCTGATCCAGGAGATGTTGTACATGTGACCCAGGTCCACCTGCCACCAGGGTGTGGGTACTTCATCGGGGTTAGCACAGGAACCTCTCCAGAACTGTCTGTCTGTGTTCCCGTCTACAGCCAGGTTTGCGGGTTTGATACCACATACCTGACCTAGTCCTTGTCGCACCACTGTGTATCATTGAATTCCCCATGTTGTGTTGCAGTCTTGTTAAGGGCCACATTTACTGAAACAGTGTACGTGACTGTAATTTCAAAATTATGTTCCACACCAGTAGATACATATATTGCAAAGGGGTTGAAAGATTCTCTTTTGATTAACGCAAATCACTAAACAATTCATACGTTTTGTTTATTCGTTGTTTTGACCTTGAAATAGTATGCCCTACACATATGTTGTACACATTGTACAATGACTGACTGACTGACTGAGTTTGGTTTTACGCCGCTTTTAGCAATATTCCAGCAACATCACGGCGGGGGACACCAGAAATGGGCTTCACACATTGTGCCCCTGTGGGGATTCGAACCCGGGTCTTCGGCGTGACGAGCCAACGCTTTAACCACTGGGCTACCCCACCGCCCTTCTACAATGACGGTAAGTCATCAGTACGTCCTTGTGACTCCTTCCTTCAGTTTTAAAACGCTAAAAGTAGCTATACAGTTTTATTCTGAAATCAAACCATTTATAAATCACGTAAAAAGGAATATCTCGGAGAAGAAAATTGTTGTCAACATGTGTAGCCAAAAACGTTATAAAAATACTCTTGTTCCGGAAACTACTGAGAGTTAATGGGCAGTGTTGATACCACGTGACATTTTCTGGAGCGTAAAGCATATAAGTCCATCTAAATCAAAGTATATAACATCCAATCATTGTTAATATTTTGGTTTTTACTATTGGTTAGCATTGCATGCAACCAGAAGAGACCCAAGTGATGGCGTAGATCCTGCTGGGACGTCATGCAGGAAGCTGGGCGCCGTAAGTCCCCGTGATGTCCTGCAAGTGGGTTAGCTTTGGTTGCTAGTGATCAATAGCCTAGTTTTAAGTTATACTAAAACTTCTGTTTTTAAATACTGACGTGGTTTTATTGTCCTTTGTCGACAGACATTCAACAAAAACTAACCTTTTCTCATCGCTATATGACTGCAATATTGCCGATGCTATGGAAAGTGTTAAATCATTCACTCACTCTCGAGTGTAAATGAGTATACTTTGTCCATTTAACTTTATGTTAAGAAGTTTATATTCAATATATCTCTTTTAATATGCAAACGCGTACGTCAAACGACGATAAACACGATCCACTCACTCTACTATTAGCCGCCTCTTCATTAACAAGACGCTATTGTATAACATTACATGATTGTAATATATGTATCACCACTCGATTGACATTCATGCTTGAGTGTAACGACTATGTATCTTATACGAAGTTCTAGGCCCAATAAAGCATGTCATACATAACGTTCGTGGTAACAAAAACATCTTCAGTGAATCCCAAAATAGGCTTTATCTTGAATACAAACCCAACCTTGATATAGCCTGATAAGGGTTTGAAATATCTTTGTGTTCATATTATAACTACTATATATAGATTTGATTAGATGCATGTTAACTAATGGTCTCTGAACATCAGCCGTTACAGACATCTGATGTTACTATACAGGCACTGTGACATATGTGTGATAATGACATACACTGGAATTCTGGGTTTTCGTTTCGTCCTCTTATCAAATACTGAAATTTCCATGTAGCGGATGTTTGGTAATCTTTATTATTTTAACTCACATTATTTTAACTCACAATAGCGCTTTTCCTTACAGTACATGCAAATACATACATTTGCTGTACAAGACAACCTCTCTTATACCATTTTAAGACGTCACTATGCAGTGCAATGATATACTCAATACAGGCACAACATCGACTCAATGAAGTCTGTTAGAAAATAAGCTCCAACAACATGTACTAAGATTTTAATGAAAGGTCACCTGTTTTCATTTTGTAAGTGAACAAATATTTTATTATCAAACCGTTTATTCACCAAAAATGGCCGAAACGTTTTACGTAAAATCCTATTTCAAACAACATTTTGAGACAGTATCGCATTTCTTTCAAATCGGACATAAAGGTAGATAAATAATATACACACCTGTATGAGGAGGTAAATGTTGATCACGGCACACGATGACTACAATGGGGAAAATCCACAGAGAGTACCATACATTCATCAGTCCCATCATTTAGAAACCTAAATACTAGCGTGGCCTTTGTCCAGCACATAAACAGGAAGGTAAAATGTTATCTGTACAAAAGCTACATCGACCTGAAATTAGTGTTATGACAATACGTATCTTATCTGTCAGTGTGATATCGCGTGAAACTGTCGTGTTACACACTTGCAGAACCTTCATTGAGTCCATGTTATCAGCGTCAGGTCACGCTGGTCCCTGTCACCCTGGTGACGAGCTATTATATAGACTGATTGTTAGAATGAGTGAGTGAGTATGGATTTACGCCGCTTTAGCAATATTGCAGCAATATCACGGTGGTTGACACCACAAATGGGATTCACACATTGTACCCATGTGGGGAATCGAACCCGGGCGTGACGAGAGAATGCTTTAACCACTGGGCTACTCCACCGATCCTCAGTATGTTAGACAAAATGTTGATGAAATGCTAATAACCTGTACAGTGGCCATCAGCGCGTCGTTGCATCCAAAGAATCTACCCGACAGGTGTTATTGAGTTAACGTGTGGTTTGAGCTGTGCTGGGCCTGGGTGGGTGCTGGTCAGTAAAATGCAAGCATGTTGAAAATACTTCAAAGACGTGTTCTGCAGCTGCAGCGACTACCATGTGTGACGTTTAAACATACGCCTCTATGTAATGTACTGTAATGTGTAGTGGTACCATAAGGTATGTTGTGATCGGAGGTGAGGTGAAATGGGGTTTAATGTCGTACTTAAGAATATTTCACTCATATGACGACGTGCATGCGTGTGTATGTGTGGCTGCTTGTACTAGCCCAGACTTAAACTGGTTTTATAGTGCTAGCTCACTGACATACCATGCCGCAGTTAATCATGAATACCCCACTCAGACACATTATACTGACTCTGAGCCGACCAGTCCTTGTTGGGTACGATGTGTGAAGCCCGTTTCTGGTGTCTCCCCACCTTGATATTGCCGAAATATTGCTAATTTAAGCGGCGTAAAACCCAACTCACTAACTAACCGGTTTCCAACCGATTTATTAAACACACGGGTTTCTGTCGTGGCATCTAATGCTGCTCAGATTCCACAGAGTTGCCTCCTTTAGAGGTAACCGAACAGTACGTGACTTCGACCTGATAATGATCATGGGTTTGCACCATACTCATGCTCGTGTGGTTTCATCTGCATCATCTTAGGCTTTCCTCCACGAGGCATGACAGGACACGACATGGCATGACATGACTGGAACACGACATGACTGAAACATGCGTAAACTGAATGTTGAACCAATCTCACTCTGTAAACACAGAAACGTTAACACACAATGTATTTTATCATGTACCATACCGAATAAACTGGATTGTGAATAAATGTTTTAACTGCTTATCAAAATGATCTGAACACAGAGTAGCATTAGTTTTCCTTATGCAGCAATGCGCATGAATTGTGCCTTTCAAAATTTATCGAGTGTTCTACAGTTCTTATACGCCCAACTACCTCGTAAACCTCATTATAACATTGCTTTGGATATCATATTCGCTATAATACATGCAGCCACATCAGGGTAGTAGTTCTTTGCAGATTGTAATAACTCCCACTGATATGCAGACTGTAATAACTCTCTCTGATCCAGTCCGCTGTTGACGGATTCCATGGTATGGTCATCGTCACACATTATTTTCAATAACAAACAACACGTATGGAACCATGGTTAGTACCAACGCCAGTGTTTACCTGATTCTGATGCCGGTATGGAGTCAAGGTGAGACACATACACCTGATGCCAATGAGCAATCATCTACATTGCAAGTAATTGGAGAGACATAAATGTTCACATATCTTACAAAATGTTTTATTTATGAATACATATACATTGCACATTGAAACGATGTTTCTTAGTTTTACCTTTGTTATCGACTGATGTATCAGCTGATATTCATATCAACGTCAAGTCTATGTGTGTTACAGTGTCCGGCCAAGACTCCAACTGCCCCCGGGACTGTACCTTAGGTAACGTTGACATCAATGTTTTGATTACAGGTGCGACAGGTAGGGCATGTCGTGATTACAATTTACACCTTATTTTCTACAACTGTTCTTATAGCAGCCAACAGAATATGGTTTGTCAATGATTCACTAGAATACTTAAAGTACCATCAAATGGTGTTGCTATGTATTTTAGTTTTTGTATCAGCACATAAATTTTACGTCTGGACACTTACTACTTGTTACCCACAACAGTGTAAGTAGCATAAGTTTATTTAGTATTTTACCTGATGTCATTCAACAAAAGGGGCAACAGAACATGATGAATGTTGATATCGAGGTTTTGTTCAAGATGCACATGTGTTTCTCCCTGATCCATTCATATAATTGTCAGTATCATTTTGCCTATTACAGATACCGATTTCCATTTAGTCAGTGAATCAGTAGAAAACATAATTCCCATTCAAATCGTCACTAGGTATAATATTCCTTATATTTACAGACATGTTAAAGCATTCACTTCTTATTAACAACTAGAGTACCAGTTGTAGAAGTATCTGTATTTTACAAGGTGCCATTTATTCACCTGAATGTAATACAAACAATGTTACGTTGTTATCATACCCCATGTCCGGAAAGCATAATACAATAACAACAGGCTAATACTGAAAGGTTATGCAAGTTATATTAAAAGTATTACAACTCGTAAGGACAACACGGAGTCAGTCACTATAATTTATGATTTAATGCACACAAAGTCAAGTAATTCCTATCTGCCATGCCATATTAGTGTGTAATGTACATTAACACACCACGGATAATGATAATGTTTACTATTACAGTGAATATAACAGCGAGTAACTTTACATCTGTGCACAAAAATACTTACACCACCACGGGGCAGGCATCCTGGGTTACTGATGGTGTGACGTCAGGGCCGTGTGCATCAGTCTCGTCCATATTCCCAGCATGGGAGGCGGAGTTTTCACAGAGCAGGACAGTTACCAGGATCAAGATATTCTGGGAAGGTACTGTGTCATCAGAAACACAAGATAACGAATGCGAACTAATACAGACAATTTGTACTAATACTGAAATATGTCACGCCCCGAACTCTTCCTACATATGAAACCAGAGTACACCCTGGAGTGTGATTTACCCGTGACGGGGGACCATCTCCTGATATATAGCCAACCTACAGTTGGGGTGCTGAATCTGGTTTATGCGAGGTGGAAATATACGGAAGAACATTTATGCATTTATTCCATATTGATACATCATTACGTTTTTTGATACCATTAAGATTCTTAATTTAAAGAATAAACCAGTCCTTGGACGCCTTGATATCGGTCTATGTTATCTGATTACATTCACTAGCTTCTGGACCATTCGCTAACACCACATGGGTATATATAAATGTCCAAAGTTACCAAATATTCTTAATATCAAAGCAAAAACTACATCATGCTATGTCAACGTTGGTTCTAATAATGAAGACATCGAGAAAGCGGGAGAATCAAACACGTATGTTAATACTACTGTTTTTAATCTGTACGAAAATGCCCTAAATATCCGCATTTAGATTGATCCCTGCTGTCATTGAGGTGAAACATAACTCACTATCATATTCTAGTACTTTCCTCATATAGGCGCGGGTTACGGTGGACGGCCAAATATGAACTGTCGGAGTGACCACGTTCCCGAACACTTAAAATAACTGATTGACTGCCACATCGCTTGTTTGACCTTTTCAGGTCATTAACACCGCATATAAATGTAACAGCACCAGAGCATTTTATATATGATTTAACACAAAGGCTAAAAGATTTGTATTTTCAAAAGTGGCACTTTTCACTATGTTTACACAATAAGTTAAACCATTACTCCTGTTTTAAATCATTCATTCTTACAGAAAAATATCTTCTAGACATTAATGTTAAGAAATTGAGAACAGCACTAGCCCGTTTCAGATGTAGTTCCCATGATCTTCTAATAGAAAAAGGTAGGCATACCACGGGAAAAACGATTGTATAAATATTGTACTAATCAGGAGGTAGAAGATGAATATCATTTCTTGCTTGTTTGTCCATGTATGCAAATATCAGAGAAGAATACATAAAGAAATATTTCTACTTGAACCCCCGAATAGACAAATTCTATGCCCTCATGACATACCAAAATCAAACAGCCACAAATACCTTGCAATGTATATATACCATCCCATGAATATGAGATCCTCTGCATTACAGATGTGATATTATTTACTAATAGTATATATTCATTTATATTGCACCCTCTGCTACTGTATGTAAAATGTACTATAGGCCTACGGTCTCTTCAGTACTGTAAATAAAGATTGATTGATTGAACACCGCATATAACTGTCACCACGTTCACGTTAATTATACTTTTAAAATCCTTTCCATGACATGTTCGTGCACTCATATGTGTACAATACTGTATAAAGCTTCAAAGGTTAAAACGATTGCGTGTGTACACAGCACTAGTTAATGAACATGTGACTGACATCGTTCAGTAAGAAATATTGCATGTGTATTCAGCGTTTCGTGAGTAAAATATTGTATAACTCCAATATCGTTGCATCCATTTCAATAAAGAACCTATCTATAAAAGATCGTTCCTGATCATCATGCCAGCCTCAAAAAGAACTTTCATAAAAAAGTAAAATCCAGAGTATCAATATCACTTGCGTAGCATCTACTGATCTTATGTGATTATCTACTCATTTTAAAATTTAGTCCTACGCTTTTCGTAGATGGAATACGCGTACCTTTTAGCTCTTAAACATATGTTACATTTGACCACTTTCTAAATGGCATTGTGTAATCGTTAACGTTAAGATAACTCAAACTATATATTTATCTTCTATCATTTCAAAACCTGATACACAATAAAACCAGTTCAAGCTATTATTACATTTACACGTATACTCATATATACACTACTCCTTCTCTCATTTATTGGGTACAATGAGTGAAGCCCATTTCTGGTGTCCCCCGCCGTGATATTGCTGGAATATTACTAAAAGCGGCGTAAAACCAAACTCAGTCAGTCAGTCAGTTCTCTCATTTATAACATCAATCAATC